AAGCAAGCAATATAGGCAAAATAGTTAACAAGAACATCAGATATACCAAATAGAAATGTGGAAAAAGTGAACACCTCATAGGTATCAAGAAACTGTTTAAAATAGCTACAGAAAAGACAATCTGTGGAAGACCAGTAAGAACCAAGGAATTTAATGAAAACTCCACAGCAAACTGCAGACCCAGAAGATAAGACAATCAACAAGAAACTCAGGACAGCTCCCAGGAAGATATAAGTCAACTGAATCTTTGAAAGCAATCAAGAAACTTCTGAGAAGTTCTTTGAGAAATACTGAACCCATAAAAGACATGGCAAGCACCAACAGACAAAGATAAAGAAAAGGGAAACCAAGGACAAGACTTGACAGGTGTAAAGAACCATATGACAATTTCGAAGTGGAGAAGTGGATCTGGAGAAAATCCACCAGCATCAGGAAACTCATGAAAACTTCTAAGGTATATCTAGTAGAAGATCTAGCACACATTCTAATGTTTATTAGAAACTCCAAGTTCTAAAAACAGGAAAAATAGTTGCCTAAGACATCTATTATAAAAGATATGTAAACTACTACTCAAGAGGCCAGGGATTTAGCTCAGTGGTTCCGCCGCCTGCCTCGAAAGCGAAAGGACCCGAGTTTGTTCCCTGGTACCAAAAAAAACTACTACTCAAGAAAGCCAAATACTAGGAAAAATTTAGACCAGAGTTCTTATGTTCTATCAGTGTTCAGATTTGACTGTGTAAGTTTTTAGTCAAAAGAAACTGTGCAAAACCATATATGGTACTTTTTTTTTAAAGCCCTGAGCTAAGCAAGATTCATCAGTAATTTATTGAAGCCATCAAGAAAAAAAGAAAAGAGGAGTTGAAGACATCATGGGATGCAAACCCAAATAAAAGCAATGTTTGGAAAGCTAACTAGTGTATTTGATTCAGCAAACAAAAATAAAGGTGGATCAGGAGAAAACTTATAATGCTTGTGAATATGGATCCCGAATTAATGTCTATGAAACTGGAGACACATGGCCAAAGAGCATGCAAGATATTGTTAGTCAAAAAAAAAAAAAAAAAAGATGTGCCTTAAAATACAGAACAAAAATTTTTTAAAGATTTCTTTATAATATAAGCATTTTCCTAGTCAAAGAGATAATGGGTAGAAAGGAATATAAAGAAATATAAACTGAATTCCCAACAAAAGCTAAGTCAGAGAATGTCTCTCTGTCCCAGACACAAATACAGAACTGATAGAAAACTGCAAGTCTCAGTTGCTTTCCGTCAACAGAAAAGGTTCAAATATAGATGAAAAGAATAGTGCAAAGACCTTCCAAGAGAAAAACTTGGAAGATGGAACTATGGAACAAAAGATAGTGAGTGCAATATCATGGAGAAACCTGATACTATGGCTAGTTTAATAGAGATTATGCACATTGAGATGGACTGCAAATGAAAGAAGACTCTGTATCAAAAACAAATCTATAAATGAAGAAAAGATACTTTTACAACTTAGAAAAATAAAAATTAATTTTGATCTATTAACATCTTTGGTTAATACAGAAAAGAAAATTCACACACAAAAAACAGGTGTAAATTTGGAATGTTCTGATGAAACAAATGTAGCCAACAGAGGCAGAAGATAAAACTATTGACAGTGCTTTAGGTAAACTCTTATTATAGTGTGTGTTCAAGGCAGTATAACTTCAAGGTCATCTGGAGGCTGAAAAAAAAAAAGATAAAGTTACAGATGTCTTCTAGTCTACCCTAAAAGAGATACCGTATGTAAAGGATGCCGAAATGAAGCCCACACAGAACATCCATAAACATGTAAAAGACAGCAATCCATCTCAAATCAAGTTATCTTTGAGGTCTAAAGGCTAAAGTCTTTCCTACAAAGGTAGAAGGATTTGATATTTTATCTGGTACAACAAATAGAACGTATGTAAGGATGAGGAGAAACCAGTTAACCATTACTCATAAAATGACACCCACAGAAGAAACCACAAAGATGACTGTGAGACAAATCAAGCAGAAAGATATAGCAGCCCATGAAGAAATAATGTGCTTGATTTTTGGAAGCCAAAAAGAAAAAAAGTCCCTGTCACTACTAAAATACAATAATTCAATACTTTGCCTTAATATATAGCAGAAGACACATCCTTGGGGAAAGATAGCAGTACTGACAATCCTTTAGGAAAATCTAGATGAAGCAGAACAACAAAAAGGTAGTAGTAAGTCAGGATTTGTGTTTGAGATCTAGAAAAAAGTAAGATTCTCATTAGAGAGATGCAAATATTTGACCCTTTATCTAGAATTACAGAGGCAAGTTTTATAGATTAAAAGCAGAGGGAAAAAGTGTGTAGTCCTTTGATATCTACACAACAAAAACATATCTGGCTCAAAATGGAAAAGCTACAGGAGTCAGATACAAGTAGAAATCAAAGGAAATACTTTGGAAAATACTGATTTACTAAAAGAAGAAATTCTGTGCAAAGGGTGAAGCAATAACCAGAGTGATAATAAATCATAGCAATGAGTAACGTGGGTTCTAAGAGATACGTTTCTGAAGAAAAACTTCTACTGGAAATCTAAAGCAGGATAAGAACCACACATAAAGAATATAACAACTTGAAGATATCAAAACAATGAAAATATTTTACTATGATGTTGAAGAGGGAAAAAAGTAGCACTGTTTAGTTAGGTGTCAAGTACAAGTACTCCCCCATAAAATTACAAGTGAATTCTGTAGGCAAAAGCAAATAAATAAAATTAATTTTATATGTATTTAAGTATAACTAAAGTATTGATTTACATGGTATTTGTTTTTTTTAGTACTGGGGATTGAAGTAATCTAGGGCCTTTGCACTGGGCTACATCCCCAGCCCTTTTAAAAATTGCTTATTTCGAGACTGGGTCTCACTGTGTCACTAATGCAAACTTTTTAAAAGGAATACTTTCCATGTATTAACCATATTGTAGCTGACTGTTGAGTTATTCTTTGATTGATAAAATACTTTCCCTTAGTCTACTAGTTACTAGCTTTTCACCAATGGATGAATAGAATGAAAAAGCATATTGTAAACCATAAGATCAGATATAAACTTGTCAAATATTCTATTATTGATTGGTTTATGACACTCATGTGGAAAGATGGTTAGATCTTGTTGCTCAAAATAAAACTCAACACATACTGTTTCTCTCAACCTGGAAATCCAAATTTTTTACAATCAATGAAATTTTTATAAAAGTGTATGTGGAATACTATATAAATCTGAACATCATATTTGTGTTTATAACATCAGTTTCAGTTCTGAATTTTCCTTTATTAATTCCACTTGAGAGAAACTGTATACATAAAAGTACAACATTAAGGTACTTAGCATATTGCCTTTTAAACTGCTAAGTGAGGCCATTTCTTTAATATTCCCTTTGGTCTTTACAATTGAATCTTGTTTTCCTTATATAGCACACTTCATGCCCTCTGGAATAATTGCCGATGCCATTTTCCCTGGTTAAAGCAACTCACATTTGTAGAATGGCAATTAATGACCTCTTAAAATTCATTATATCTCAAGAAGATATTTCTCCTTTATGATATTGAACACCCATAACAAATTGCTTTTAAGCAACAAGTGATTATACACACATTTATACACATATGTACATGTTTTATACCTAGCACATAAATTTAGAAAATCAATCATGTTTCTCACCTTCCAGATGGGTTACCATATCCAGGACCATTATTTTCCTCCTCATAAGAAGTCAGTGAAAATAAAGTATGCTTGAAATGTTTCACTATTTGAGTTATTTTGATAATTGAAAATCAGAAGAGACTCTGTACTGGAGAAGATGGCGCCCCCATGTGGGTTTGGTTAAGACATACCCTAAAGTTAAATTTATTTTCCAGTCATTTCACTAATATTCTAGGCCATAATTTAATGTTTTTCTATATGGTTGGAGAACACATATATTCTCAAATATATAAAGAATATTAAATATAGGTAGAATCAGCATCTCATCATGAACTTAAGTAATAGAATAATGATTTTCTATTTTAAGTAACATATACAATTGCTATATAATAACCTCCAGGTAGAATCTGTAAGACTCAACACCCAGATGTTACCCTTAGTACTTTAAAAGTATTTCTATCTAAATATTCCAGCATTATGAACACATAGGTTGTGTTAACATGATCTGCTATGTGTGTGTGTATTACTCTGAGACATGTTCATTTATCACTAACAAAAATAGTTAAGATTTTTTCAGAAAATGAATAAATTTGAATAAAATTGTAAATCAGTGCACTGTGAGGAAAAAAATATCCACAGTAGAGTCAAACTCATTTCTGTTGAATAATGTGGATAAAAGCTGATGGGCTGGGCAGGAAACAAGTAAAAACTTACTGTAGTTTTAAAATTCAGTAGAACCTTATTGCATGGTTGGTATAAAGTATAATCACCACTGTGTAGACATTCCAGATTTTAGGGAGAGAAATGTTTCATAAGATACAAGGGAAAAATACTTGATCTATATCCTAAGTGCATTTTACATAGGATTTTGTTGTAAATTTCTTGAAGACATCAATAATAACATGTAGGCTTGCCTTCATATATTGGTACTTGGATATTTAGGTTGCAGGTTCAGATACACATGAGTTTTAAGAACTATCTAAAACAGTGTACTCTCAATGAATAAATAATTTAAAAGAATATGGCAGCATTCTAGTGTTTGAATAGTAGGTAGTAGTATTGATAGCCATACACAACAAAAATCTGCCAAATTTGAGTTACATCAATATATGTGATTTTTAAATATCCACATTTCATTAAGCTTGATTATTCTCAACTGATAGTTTAATTCACAGCTTAAAATTACTTTTAAATGACAAATATTTCAATGTTACCATATACTCACATCTGATGAAATTTGCACAGAGAAAGATTTTAATGTTTTTGTTTTCATACACTTCAAATGATTTTTCTTTAATGATAGGGTCATCAACTCTTAGAAGTTTAAAGTAAACCATTTTATTACAATTCAGGCATTTAAAAATTTCCCAAGACTGTCAGACTTCTTCAGTCAGTCTTTAAAAATTTAATCAAATCGTTTTCTTCTAATACAAGACAGATATTCTAAGATTTCTTGGTATTGTCCAACTTCTTCAAACCATAAGAATAAACAATGTTCTAGATCCATCTATGAGATCCATGTGGATAACCTTTTTTGATGTTAATATTTGGCCTTCTCCAGAGAAATTTTGTTTTTCCCATATTTTCCTTTCACATTAATCATAAACTGTTGTAACCACATCTTATTCAATGTATATATTGTACATAGACAATATGCATATGTACACTATACACAATACATTCAATAGTTCTATTACCTTTTGCTTTAAGAACATATGACGGAACGGTAGAACTAATGACACTTGCTTTTTTCAGATAGGTTGACTGAATCCTTCTGTAGCACATGACTGTGTAACTATGGCTTTAAACAAAAGTTACAAGTCTCAAGTTCTTATGTTTTGTACCATGTTGTGGAATGTATTCCAAAAGAAAAATGGAGGAGAAAGTGCATGATGTCATGTTTCATGGAATGGCATATATGTATCAGTTATATTTTACATATAACTATGTGATGAATAATTATAATTAAGACTTCGGCTATATAATGTATACTTATTATAAAAAGTTATATATTATGCCACAGTACTAAAAATAAAATATATTCTCAAATAGTGAAAATAAGATACCCTTCATGTTTTTATGCCACGTTTCCTGGTTTTATCATGCTTTTTTTTCACCTGTAATGAAACAATGCCCAAAAGTTTGTTTAAACAATAATGACGTAATGTGGGCAATTTCCTATTAATGTCCTAAAAAAGTGATAAGACAGTTGTCATTAATGTGTTGAAATACCCTCAAGTTGCATTCAATACATGGAAAAATATAAAAATAAAAGACAAATAAATATATACCTTCTCAGTTACTGAAAAATCATAAGTCCAGCTGTACCATATTATGAATATGGTTTTAATAGAAGTAGTTGCTGTATCTTGAATAAGTACAGTAACAAATCATGTATCTTGGGTATCTCCCACCCCATCCTACCCCCGTTTAATTGTAAGCCACTGGCTGTGACTAGTGGCTTGGCCTGGAAGACACCGAAGGGTTTTTGGAGTTCTCCTCAAGAAAGGGATTCCACCATATCCAAGTGCAGCTCTACCAGACCTTGAGCAGCAGTCGCTCGTCACAGCTAGATCACAGCTTGTCCCAAGGGCTTCTCGTTCTCCTCCATCCTGGGAGGCACTGTCCAGGCCGAAGGGAAAGGAATGGAACTGGGCTCCTTTCTCAGCCTTAAAGAATGCAGCTCTTCTGCCAAAGCACCAAGGGCTCACGTGTTCTTCTGGGTTCGGGAAGCAGGCACTTACGAATGAACACAAAAGGTGGCAACGCAGAGTGCGGGATGGCCTTCGAAGTTGGCGGTGGGGGCTCGTTCGCTGCTGCTGCCCCTGCCGCGAGTGCCCAGCGTTTCCTTGAACCAAATGAAATGTAGGGAACCTCAGATCCTGGGGGAGCACGAGGGAGGGGTGACCCCAACTCAGCCGCGGGGCGACAGGAGGTTATGCTGACGCGCTAGGCGGGATTGAAGGCAGATGGTGGCGGCCGCGGGTACACCAGCCTTCGCCAGCCTCTTGCAGCCCCGTCTGCACCATCCGCATGGTCCCCGAGAAGCCCCGGGCGCTCAGATGAGCGGGAAGCGACCCTCGCTGGCGTCGGGGTCCCTGGAGCCGCCGCCTCTCGGGCGGCCAAGCACCGACACAGGCAGCACGACCTCCCCGGGGCTCAGCTGCTGCAGCCGCATGGACTCCTCATAGGTCGGCAGGTACTTGACCTCCTCGTAGCTGGGCAGCTGCAGGAAGACCGGAGAGACCACCCGCAGCTCGTGCTCTGAGGCGCAGGCGGGGGCCAGGCGTCTTCCGCCGCCACTGTCCAGCAGTGAGTCCTGCGAGCCGGCTGCCGCCTCGTCGGGCAACAGAACGGGCGAGTCGTCGTCGTCGGAAGGCCCCGTACCCCTTGGCGGCCCAGAGCTCCCCCGAGGCGCGGGTCGTGCCTGCCCGGGTCGCGCCTGCCCACGCGGATACCTGCGTGGGCTGGGGCAGATGATGCGCTGCAGGAAGTAGCCGATGGCGAAGAGCACTAGCAGGATGAGCAGCCCCGAGAGCTTGCGGACAAACCAGCCCACGTTGTCCAGAAAGGCGTGCAGCGGCAGCTTGCAGCAGCGCAGCGCCGTGGTGTTGGCCGAGTCGCAGCAGCCCTCCCGCTCGCCGCACGCCAGCTCCGCGCAGCTCCCGCTGCCCCGCGAGGGCGCCACCAGCGCGAGCGCCAGCACTAACAGCAGCGGCAGCAGAGGCGGCGGAGCCGGCGCCACCGACAGGCCCTCGGCCGTGACCCCGGATCCCCACATGGCCCGCGCAGAGCCCCGCAAGCGTCTGAGAAGCGAGGCGAAGCGGCCCGTCTGTCCGCGCGTCCTCGGGCCCCGCGCGCGCCGCCGCCCGCGCCCCAGCTACCTGCGGCCCGAGCGGTCCTCGCTTGGCCGCGCTCGGGCGGGAGGAGGAGCCCAACGCGAGCCAAGGCTGCGGGAGGCGGCTACTCCCTGCGGCCAGAGCAGCCTCCAGGGCGTCTGACCTTAGCCCAGCGCACCCGCCGCCCAGGCCTGCCGCGGGGCATCCGGAGCCACCCAGAAAGGCTGAGGCGGCCTGGCTGGAGCCGCCCTGAGCGTCTTGGCCGGGCCGGCCGCGTCTTTCTCCCCGCCTCGTGCCCCTCGGAACTGGCAGGGTTAACGCTGCACGCTCAGCCCCGGAGCCCCTTGAGCGTGATTAATTCAGCCGTCGCTCTGTTCCCCGCCAGACAGGCGGGGGCTCTCCCTCCAGTAGGTGTCTCCGTTTTAAGTGATTGGATTTCCTCAGGAATGTTATTTAAATTGACTTGGAACTGGGATTCGCTTACCAGCTCACTGGCGATCTTTCTGATTAAAAATGGATGATGGCCATTAAAGGCTAGTGCAGCCCCACTGCCGTCCTAGACTTTGGGGGTCGGCACCTCCCCGTAAGTCTGCCTTTAGGTATGTGGAGAGTGTTCCTCCAGAACAAGTAAAGGATTCCTTGGAGAGACTCATATCATCTCACCACAGAAGTAGCACAAAAGAAGGGAAGTATTCTGTTGAGGTGACCAGAGTGGACTGAGGAGAGATGTGGGGTCGCACATTCCTCCTACGGCTCATCATACTAACTCTCGCTGCACCCGAAGCATAGAACAGGGATTCAGTTGTGAGGTGCAAGGAAGCTCCTCCTGGAACATAAATAACGTATTTGTGAAGTGTCAAAGGGAAGCTGTAAGTGGTTGGCAATGTTCCTAAGCATTGATCTGTGTCAGAAAGAGTCTTTTTCAAGGTTATTCTTGTTTGCAAAGTTTGACTTTAAAGGAAGTCTGTGCCTCTGTGTAGCATAAGGAAAAGAGTTTACCTTTCCTGTCACCACTCGGAAAGCCTCTTAGCAAACAGTGAAGATGGCAGTTGCCTTGAGCCCTGACTGGCAGACAGGTACAACTACTGGGAGGTAAAGCCAGGCAGCCCTTTGGAGCCATGCCATAGAAAAGCCAAGAGCTTGCCACTTCTATTAAGGCATCCGAAATAGCCCATCATTCTCTCACCCTTTCACAGGAGGACCCCTTGAAGAGATACCAAAAGGAAAATTCTATAGTCGTCGTGAGAAAAAAGGAAAAAACAAAGGAAAAATATCAAGACATAAACGGCCCATATTAACTGTGGGTCAGATAAAAGCAAATATTTCTATCCTAGATCTCCTTAACAGAAAAATGGACCAAGAAGGGTTGGAGAGGTGGTAATTGAGACAAGTTTTTCCCAGCTTTGATGAAAGCACTTTTAATAATTCTGTTGTTGGATATACCTTACTTCACTCACTACAAAATGCCTTTTCCTCGTGGAGAAGCCATTCTAAGTGTCACTCAGGATACTTGGTGTGAAGTTGGCTTGAGCACAGGTCCCTTTTTTCTGAGCTCTCCTGAAGCCAGACATTTCTTTGTGCCACCATCTAGTTCCCTGAAGGGAGGCTTGAACCCTATTTGTAAGGCCTGATTCACAACACTTTCAGAGTGTAGTAAGATAATAAGATGGAAGAGATTTACTTTAATCTGGTGAAAATTCTATCATTATTCCATTCACTTTTTTGCCGAATATACATTGAACATTTTCTATACAGTATTTAGGGAGCTCTGCTATATGCTCACCATAAAAGAGAGAAATCTACTCCTCTCCATGTGAGTAAGCACAGTTCTAAATGGTGTAAGCAGAGATTCCACGGAGGGAATCAAATGGCTTGTTTCCTCTTCCATCATAACTTGTTCTTGCTTTCCCAAAGCAAAAGTAAATTTATGAATTTCAGACATTCTCAGGGATAAGGGAAGTTCATGACTTGAGATGAACTTTGAGTATCAAACTGAGAAAACAAACAAAAAAAGATCCCCTTGGATCTGTTTTTTTAAAGATTTCTTCCAGCAGTAGTAGAAGCCATCTTAAAAGTAGAGGGAATTGTATGGCTGATGATACACAGGAGAAAATGCCCTGCTTATAGTTATTTTGAAATTACTAAACAACCGCATTTCAATTGTTTTGTTTCTCTCTGCCTTTAAGGGGTTAGAATTTATTTTCAGACTGTTAGGACTGAATAGAAACACATATCTGATATAAAACATTGACCAGACGCTCTGTGAAAACAAAGAAAAAGATAAGTTCTACAAAATGAGTATGGAATGGATTTTTAATTTTTTCTTTCCAAATTGATAGTTCCAAAGCATCATCCATTAAAGCCCCTCTATAGAAACTGGCACCTTTTTATTCACTGACCTCTCAGTTTCACTTAATTCATTTTTACTTGCAATGTAAATTATTGTGTACAATCTTTTGAAGGGAAGAAAAGAAACTTTATATCTTTTTTTTTTTTTTTTTGGTACCAGGGATCAAACTCTGGACCTTGGGCTTGCAAAGCAGGCAGCAGAACCACTGAGCTAAATCCCTGACCCATCTAACCCTGTATCTTTAAAGGCACTAAAAAAGCCTTGGTCTTCATTACTCAGCATCTTTATTCTTTCTTTTTATCTAACATACAAATGAATAGGGTAGATTTAGCTCCCAGAAACTCATAAATTCAAGCCACTTAGTGAGGAAAATGGAATTTATTTGTTCCATAGAAAAACTCAGTGCATTTTGTTAAATATTGCAAATTGTGTTGATTGATGAATGCAAGAAGAAAAAAATATCATAGTGGGAGCAGATTGACTTTTATCCAAAACATAGTCTCTGAGTATTACTTTAATAAAAATTAAGAACATTAACTGCTTTACTTTGCTGTGGTGCTTGAGCTGCTTTACCTTGCTGTGGTGCTTTAATGATATTTTTTAAAAAAATTCCTGATTTATATATACTCACATGAGTAAATGCTAAATTAGACATACTTGTCAACTTTTTAGAACAGAAAAAATAGAACATAGCAAAACTAGCTGCTGCTTTTTTATCTGTATCCCTGGGAGCTTCCTGATAGCTTGAGAAAGGACTTAGTAGTTCCCTCATGGTACCCTCTGTTCTATCACATGACACCAGTTCACAAGACAAAATCTCTCAGATATCTCCTATCATGAGCTCACACTTTCAAGCCAGAGAAGCAACACCCCTTCCCTTTTCATGTCATTTCTGCAAAATGTCCAGGCATGGGCAGTTGGGACCTTGTAAACAATCCAGTCTTATTCAGAATGTGCAAGATAGTTTCCTTACTCCTAAATTACTATTATATAATTGATTTACTAACTCCATTTAATGGTTTCCCTTCCTTTGCAATATGTCCTCCCAAAGCAACAGTAAATTAAGGGTTTTATGTATATTTGCATAAATACACCTATTTAGAAATGATTTGTGATCTGGGATAATCTGCTTTGGAGTTCTTTTCAGATCATATTTCTTTTATCACTTTCACTAAATATTTAATGAGGGCCCCTTCTGAACTGGGCATTCTGCTCCACTCTGGTGACATTATGAGATCAAGCCTTTCTCTCTCCTCCTGGACCTTATTGGGAGAGGGGAAGAGAATAACAAACATTCAAACAGTCAAAATAATGAATTGATATTCCGGTGATTGATGCTTATGACAATGAAGTAAGTGCAGGATGCTCGGCATTTTTATATTGGCCCGAATCTGGGGTGGGGTGTTGGGATTGGCTGGGAAAACCTCCGTAAAAAAGATTTCTTTAAAAAAAAGGACAACAAAACCAGGAGGAAAGGAATCTTCTAGGCAAAGAAAACTTCTTGGAGACAAATCCCCAAGGTGGCATAACCTTACATGTCATCTCTTACCCTCGGGACAAAATCTGCATAATTTCTACTTCAAGATGTGTAACTCTGCTTCTGGATTAGCTTTAGGTAGCATCAAGCTACCCCTTGCTGTTATCCAATTTTCTTTTCTGTTTTGCAGCATTGGAGATTGAGCCCAGGGCCTTCACACTGAACTACATCCCTACCCCCCATCCCTTTTTTTGAGACAGGGTCTTACCAAATTGCCCAAGCTGGGCTTGAATTTGTGATCCTTGTGGCTCAGTTTCCCATAGAGCTGGGATTACATGGATGTACTACCACCATCTTGTTTGTCTTCCAATTTTAAACTAAACATAATTCCCTGCAGGAGTCTTAACTGGTTTTGCAGTTGTAGTTATCTTTGTTTTTGATCCTGCTTAGTGTTCTCTTGGAAAACAAGAAAGTTCCAGCAACGTTTTCTGTTCTTCCTATCTTCACAAGCCTTACTTGGAGCAGAATTCAGATTTCTTCTTTCAATTCCAAGAATTTTCAGATAGCCAACAAAAGCTTCTTCAAGTCACATGCTTGAAGTAGGAGAAAAATCAAAGTGAGATGCATTGTCTGTTATTCAAATTAGGTAGAAAAGGACATGGGAAGATTTTTCTCAAGCTTGAAGTCAGAAACAAAATGTTGACTAATTTCAGACCATTATAAAAATAATACTACATTGATATTTGGCCCTTTAACTTCTCAAAGAACTTTCACATGTACTCATTGCTCTCCATCTGTGAGATGAGTTGAGGTTATTATTCTCCTTTTCAGGTCTTTATCCAAATCACAGAGCAAATTTGTGGCAGGGCTGAAATTAGAATCCAAAGCTTGTGAATCCAAGTCTCCTTACCAAGGTTGGTGGGTATCTCACTTCCCCTGGACTTGGACCAGGCTGAAGGGACCACTGTTGGGGGAGGCACTTATTTTCACTTTGAAAGCTCCTGATGCCACAAGAAGCCAATTATTTAAAAAATAAGAGTCAGCCCAGGCTTATTCTAGACCACAAATATGAGATTCTTCTGAGGAAGTGAAACTTTCTGTCATTTATGACTACATTCCATAACCCGTTTATAATGTTTTAGGTAATAATGTGACAGGCCAGCTATTTTTGTATGTATTTCTGCAAAGAAAAAGTAAATTGCC